ACACATTGAGGATGAATGCTAGTCCCAAGCATCATCTGTTGGTTCTCTGTGTAATTACAGCTGATGTGACAGTAACGGAGTAGCGGACGCGGGCGGTCAATCATGCTCATACTCATATTTCATGTAGCTTCTACCAAAGCCCTGACAGGTTCGTGTTGATCTCAAGCAGACCGTCCACAATTATAATTATCACGTAAGGAGGAAGGAGATACCTGCGATAGGTCTGAGAAAGTCTACGAGGAGGCCTGTTGCTGTTGGTGCAGCTCCACTTGGTTATTTGGGTGAGATCATTCCTTTTTATTTATTTATACAGTAACGTCTCCATATCGTTAGGGCATCAATTCAGCTTATCGTTTACCAAAACGAACCCTGCTGCAAACCCTACCCTCTAACCCAACATCCCAGTGATTCCTCGTGGAAGTGCAGAGGATTTCTCGGCTTCCATCAAAGCGAGTGTCACGTTAACACATTCCTACCCATTCCTTTCTTGACCTGCGTTCCGGCGCGGCCGGCGCTGATATTGCCTAGTTTGAGAGTAATTAAAGCTGATCTGGCAATAACAGAGTAGCAACCGTGGGCGGTCATTCATGCTCATGCTCATGCTATAAAGGTAATGCCATGTTTAAATTACTGTTATTATTGTTGTTACTATATGTTATTTACGTTTTGGACAATCATTTTGTTGAAGGCAAATTGACAATATTTAATTATTAAAATTAATATTTTAAATTCAATTTATAATTAGTGTATTGTTTGAAGATAGTTATACAAAAAATGCTATGACGTGTGCGCGTAGATGCATCCGTGTAGAAATCCAACTGCATAAGTAAATCTGTTTCGAATGAAATATCTAAATTATGTAGTTACGAAAACCGCGCAAATTCCGAACGCTTCGCAAAACAACCGAAGCGAGAAGAAAAATAAGGATTATTATCATTTAAAGAGTGCCACCACAATAAATGTGATTATCTATGTTGGCAAGTTGATTAATTTTGGTTTCCTCCTTAGATATTCTATTTATTTACTACTGAGATTTGTATCAAATTAACTAATTTAACGGACCTATCATCATCATTTCAAGATTTCGCGACCGTACCGAACAAATTCTATACTACATAAGCTCAAACAACTTTTGGCAAGCTCTACCGAATTGCGAATCACTTCTGCGTGAGCTCCGTAGACGTAGGCGCGTTGAATCAGACAGCCACGAAAATTTAAACATGCATCAATACCACATAGGGAAAGATCGATTTTACAGTCACGTGGGGTTTAGTTCTTAGATTAACATTGACTGCTGTTTACAAATGTAAGTACTTGAACAAAAAGAAATAAGTTAACTCAAATGCTTTAACCTCCAGAGATTTCGCGTATTTAGAGAATAATATAGTAATCGAGTACAATAAACTCAGGGGAAAACAATACTTACAAAAGATTAAAAGTGATTAATTGTCACATACCTCTAATTTTACTTATTTCCTATTCCTCTCCTTGTTAATCTGCTTAATGCTATTGGTCTGCTTGCGTTTTCTTAATGAGCTAAATAGGAAGATTTATTCTACAACTTTAAAGGCTAGTTGCCTCCCTAAGCAGACCTCACATAATAACTCTTTTGTTAATCCATTTAATTTTATTAGGCTGTCTGAATTTTCTTATTGAAGTTCATTTGATGATTATGATATCTCAGTAGCCTAATTTAATAAATAATTTCAATCTCTAATCTACCAAACCAATCATAATCCATGCTTTATTACACCATCATAATCCATGTACCTGCAATTGTGTTTTATATTACAAAATTAAACGTGTAAAATAAGAGTGATTTTCGGCAAAACTTGCCAGTGTCGCACCCAACGTCAGTGCCTATACGTAAGCGTACTACAACGCGACAAACAAAGGAGTAACAAGTGTGATGAAAGAACAAGATTTTAAGTTCTCTCATTCATCAGAGAGGGAAGCTTAGTAATCCTCATCGCCTGCCCATGGCGCCATAAACCTACCGCCTCCAACACTCCACTATAAAGCATGAAATTAAGCCCGCCCACCAGCAGCAAGGTGAAAAACTAGCCAAAGGGAGGAAGCTTTTTTATAAACTAATTTTGAAGCATAGCTAAAATATCTATCTTGTTATTATTTAATGAAAAATATTTAAAAAAGGATCAAAACACAACTGGAAGAAGCAACTAATGTATGTTTAACGTTTATATGATGCAATTAGCCAACAAAATTACATTACTTGTTGATATTTATTTATATACTTGTAAATACTAATTAATTCAGATACGGAATATGAGTGATGAGGGAGCTGATTCTGTTCGCGAGTCCTCCGTTTAGGCTGGATTTATTGATTTAAAACTTGAAGTTTATTTTCAGCTCTTCGATGATGGAACATTTTTAGATTAATATTATAATTATTCACTTTGTTCAGCCTTCGTTCAGGAAAATACAAAACATTATAATGAAAACTATTAACTGTCTGATATCCAAATAACCTCAACTTATCTGACTATTAATTCATAATTGAAGTTTACCAATATTATTAAAAGCATTCCATATTGCGTTAAGCCATTCCATGGTGCATAATAAAGTGTTTGTTTCAATTCCAATAAAATATCAAAAGTTAAAATTAGTTGCACGTATTAAGGTAAACTAAAATCGAGCTTATATGTATATTGTAATACTTGTTTATTTTACATTCTTCATATTTTATATATTGCATGACAAGTTAATTACTTTTATTTCACATATTTAAAAATTCAACATATTATTATAACTAAATTTTCATTCATAACAAATAGGGGAAATGGATGTAATGTTGGCCTAAATGCCCCTAATTTGGGCCCATACATAAATTCAGCGATCGACTAAATTTTCAATGGTGACCAAAAATATCCGTTAGTATCGTTCCAAAGACGCATTCATCTAGATAAAATTAATAAATAGCAGATTTTTAGCGATGGGCTCAATCTTAGATCCATAGGCCAACAGAGCCATTTCCTCTAGTTGCCCTGCAGATCCTGAAGGACCAGAAGGTGTATCAAATAGCATATCATTGTTATTTACTTTTTATTTTATTTTAATATAATATGATCTATGGTTTCCAGAATTTGGATTACCCAGAGAATCAATTGGATATCATCATACATAAGGTCAATGTTTTAAATTGTTTTACCTTTGCAGAGATTTGCTTATTATTCATAGATACTTGTTTTTATAACTGCTCAAATAACCTCGATTATTTTGCAAATTGATTCTTTACATAAATGGTGAATTCATTTAATAGACAAAGTAGAGTTCAATTATACCATGCAATTAAAATATTCATATATAGCTTGAGTTTAAAGAAATTGAGTGACTAAAATCGAGGTTGTTTGAAATTTGTTCTATTTTATTAATTACGGGAAATAGCTCTAATGTTGGCTTATGGATCTAAGATTAGGTCCATCGCTAAAAAATGCTATTTATCAATTTTATCTACACACTTAGAAAAATGCATGTGAATTTAGGTGTTCTGAGACTAACATATACGAGCGTCAATTTGACATAAAATTGAGTCATAACAGACGCGAAATTCAGCTCAATCAAACGTATTTTTCGTCAAGTAACGAAATTTTCAGACTCGAAGCACTTAATTTTACATGACACGTTTGTTTACGTCTCATCCTTTATGTCACAGATGGATTCCGTCCAGTGTAAAATTAGTTATTTCCAAGTGTGTGTTAGTTTGTTAGTCTTTATCTATGTGATTCCTGATCTTTTATTCGTTGTTCTCTGGTTTGAAGTGCTTATGATTAGCGTTCTGATGCTTGGTCATTATCGGTGTAATTCCTTAATTTTGATGCTAAGGAATTCAATTTTGACTGACAAAGGGGTGCGTTTTTGAGGGTGTTTCAACAGAGGGATATATATAGCGGAACCTTCCAATTAGAGTCGGATCTTTGCGATAAATGCAAGAATGACAATTGTAAAAAAATCGAATACTTCATCATTTCTCAATAGTGATGGAGTAATACGAAATGCACTAAACTGAGGACACTACAATAGGTCAAATTGCTGGTCGCAGTAGTGTTAGGTCCCGAACATAGAAAAAAAAACTTAAAAACTTTTTTTTTTTATTTAAGCTTTGAGCCTCTGTTTGAACTTCCAATCATTAAAGTGAAAATAAATTATAATTTTAATGAAAGGTGTTAATTTTATACTTTTAGTAGTTTAGCGTTTAACCAATTTATATTTAACATGTGTTCAAAATTTGATACGAACATTTGAAATTTAATTGCTGGAATGAAGAAAGTAAACATTTCGTACTTAACAGTTTATAATTTACATTGAAAATATTAAATTGTATACTAAGCTTTTATCTTATAGCATTTTACATTTAAAATACCATAATTTAACCTTTTTTCCCTTAATTTTGTTTCCATCTGTAAACTACCTATCGACCCATAAACTCATACACAGGGGCAAAAAGGGACGACGTTTTGGCCGTAGGGTTTCGGCCTTTATCATGTTTAAGAATCCTTCATTAATTCAACAGCAAGACTGATAAAGCCACTCCTACAATGACCAACTATCCAGTCAAACATAAATATGTATTTATAAATTTAATAATTTTTATATGAACTTTGACAGAACGAATATTCCAATGAAATAATTAACGACATTTTCATTTACGAAACAGACGCAATTTTAGCAAATCAACGTCCTTACGCAGCATTCTAACGAATTTGTGCTTGGATTAGCAACATCGAACCCACGATGTTTCCCGCCCGGCCGGATGAGCTCTTGCTTTCTTCGAGTTGCAAGTAAATGATGAGAGAACCAGAGAGTCGTTGAGGCTGTTGATATAATTTTGTATAGTATGTGATAGACATGAGACCACGTAGAAGCATCGCGTGAGTGCAAAAGCTCCGGTAGCCGACGGGACGACCGACAGAGCAGCTGGTTTTTCAACTATGCTACCGGGAGAACCTTTTCACCTCAGTTTCGTTTGAGCCGTTGCATGATTAACATATCAACTCCACATATCATTTTTGCGTGTGTGTATTCAAATTGTGCAGTTTTACAAAAAAATTAAAATAAGGTTTTTGAACAAATCGAGCGGTTTTGAGCAAAGTGAAGTGGTTATTCAGTTTCAGAAAATTTCGGAAGCAAAGAAAAAAAAGTAAGTGTCCCGCCGTGAGAAGGAGGCTCGTTGACTTCCCAGCTAAAAGTGCTCGAAAAAGGCAAAGGGAGGCCTGGTAAATTAGCCGTTACTCGAGTGGCCTTGTGCATGAATTTTTCATGTCAGCAAGAATATATGAAGTGGATGATTGCCCTGAGGCGCTGATTTTGATTTAAATATTGATAAATAAGACTTGAAAATTTCTGTTTCAAATTGTGTGAAAACGAAAGCTAGGAAAAACGAGTGAAAAATGTTATTGCATACGGAAAAATTAAGCAATGCAGGTGTGTGAGTGTGTGTGTATGCGCTTTAGTAGGACCTTGGAGTTCCGGATTACTTTGACAGGACCACCTTACTTGCTTTTTACTATTGTGATATAAGATTTAATGCTTCGCTGTTCTCTGTGTGGATCAGACCGAATGGTACCGTAGCCAATTTAAGCGATTAAAATCTACGATTATATTGTGGTAGAGCCTTCCATGCATGTATCTCAAAACACAGAATACATATCGGATGATCATCTTAGCTATGGCGAGTAAAGTATTTGAGACTCCCCCCCACCTCCCCTAATTATGTATGTTTCTGTGTGTGGCTGAGTGGGTGGGTGAGTATTTGTGGCTGGAGCGCGTAAGTTTGTGGAATGTAAAAAAAAAAATGGAAAGGACGACCCTGACTGTGGACTATCACATTTCAGGGCATCCGCTCTTCATCTTACTCTCTTTATTCTGTGTTTTGGTGTTTTCACACCCACACAAGCGTACGATCGTCTTGGATGCCTGGAAATCATGTGTGCCTACATTACATTTGTACGAGAAGCAGCTGAAATAGTACAATGGGCACGAGGCAATAGAAACATTACTATACACATAAACTTTTACAGTGCGACTCCATCACCTCCCATGAGTCCTCTGCGGTGAGGCTATAACACGTCCATATTTTAGTACAGAAGCTCACCTGGCCGGCACCGTTTGGCCAAAGGTAACACTTAATCATCATCTAGGATCGCTTATTTAGTCATTCCATCATCCTGTCGTCATCCTCGCGTGCAGACGGATTAAAGCGAATAACCTTCGAATGACGAATTTTCATAAATTATAATTTAATGGAGCATGTGAGCGAGAAAATCTTGCCTTATTTTTGTGACTTTCGATGGTGACCCTTCGGTCCATATGAACAAAAAAAACGAAGAAAAATATGTGTGTCCATTCCTTTTTCGTTTGCTGTTGCTCCCGGGGGAATGCTGAACTCGAGATGTATATTTTTTCGGCCGGAACCTGGTTAATATTCACATGGGGTATATTATGACAGGTGCACAGGTGATGTTGTTTATATGCACGTGACTTTTCTGTGAGTAAAGAACACCACATAATAAGGTGTTAACATAATTCACAAATGACGGAGTTTTACCTCCCAGATATAATAATCAATTGCAAAAATCTAAGCGTGCGGAATGTAGGTGAGAATCATTTTTTTTAGACATAGTAACGAAATTTGTGAAAATCTGCTACCTATAAATATTGTTGATGCTATGCTAAATGAAGTAAGGTGTTGTTTATTTCGAAATTTGTAGCTGATTGTTATTGATATTGCAGAATAGGGCTTTCTGATAGTCTATTTGTTTGAGTGTTTCTCAATATATGCACTGGCATAAGATGAGTCGTCTTTTTTATTTTGCTGTAAAATCAACGGTTACAGATTTAATCTATTCACTTGCTTAGGCATAGCCAGATGCAGCAGCCTCTCATTCAGTAACAAAATACATCCTGGTGTATTCGTCGGTCGTCTGATCTCATTATAACCATAATGAAATTCAACGCATTGAGGCTATTCAGTGAAAATTCATTCGGTTCGCTCTACGTCATCTTAGGTGGAGAGATCTATTCAACCTACCCAGTAATGAAAACATGGAATTACTTGAAGCAAACGTGGCAAAAGCATGCTTTGTTGGAGATCTGGGTGAATTTTCACTTAAATTTGACAGATGGAAAGTTTTCAAATAAACCTGCTATTATACCAGACTTATTTCTGACAGACCAGGAATCAGTTTTGACAAACACCTTGAAAATCGGAAAATCAACAACAGAGAGATTTACGAACATCATAATTTATTTTCTTAGTATAAAATTTAAGTGAAAATTCACCAAATGGAACACAGCCGTAGTCTTTTGGACATCAACACACATCGTTGCAATCTTCGGTCGCATTCATTTATCAACATCCCTCCTGCTAACTATTGTCGTTTTCGTTTTTTCGGTGTAGCACTGGTGTAGTGTAAGCAGGAATAAGCGCGAGCCTTTGACAGCTCAACATCATTTGTTTGTAAACAAAGGTGCATCCTACATCTACACCCTAAAATATTTCGGTGTACGGCAGTGTAGCACCGGTGTAGCTACACCGCAAAAACGAAAACGACATATTTTTTTTTTTTTGTTTATAATTTATTTGATAAGGCTCAACCGAATTAACTTTACAGAGCCGAGGATTCTTGGTCACTATACAATACATCTTAAAACTATAGTCAAAAGGTACAACACAATAAACACTTTATCTTCCGTTATCCAAAAAGCCTCCTCCATCAGAACTGGAGCCGCTTCCAGTGGTTTCATTGTATGGCAAATTGTTGTACGCCAACGAGGGTCAGAGCGCGTCCATTGCAGCAATGGACGCAAAACGTGGTCAGCACTCACACACTCATCACGAAACGGTTGCTTTCCAAAGTCGACGACGCATCGACCGAAAGAACTGCTGATGAAGAACAATGAGGAGGACCACACAATGGTTGCTGCCGAGAAAACAGACGATCGCGCAGCACACATCGAGAGTGGCCTGCTTTTGTCGACAGCCGAGTGAACACTGAAAAACGACATATGGCTTACACAAACCATTGCGAAGCATGTCTCGGTCAACCGGTGTTACTATGTGTTTAAATGTGTCACAAGAAACAAATAAGCATAGTTTTGTACATATATAGTTGTAGAACAAGTTTCATTGGGGTGAACAATTTACCTGTTAACAAATAAAAAAAATACTAAAATTTTGTCAGATGTATAGCGGTAAGCTCCATCGAGGATAATACGCCATTTCATCCAAATTTTTGAAAATCTGGATTAAATCTTAATCCTCGATTCGGTAAGTACCAAAAGAGGAATAAACTATAAAAGCACGCAACCATTCTCTCTCGTATTCAGCAGTTCCATTTCAAATGACGATTTTTTTTTTAATTTTTTGATCGACCTTCTACGATAATGTTGAAACTTTGCACAGTTGTTTGTTATTGTCCAACATGCCATTATACATATTTGGTTCCCTAGTTTTGTACACGACTAACACTTGAAAAGGGCTTATGCAAAAAATGATACGCATCAATAGAAAAACATATATCTTGCGAACGATTTGTTTGATTGAGATGGTGTTTTGGAAGAAGTTGCGGACAAGTATTGTGCCTTTCAAGAAAAAAATACACACTGTATTTTTTTTTACAAAAAAAAAACAAAATTATCAAAAAAAAAATAAAATTACTCAAATTGCATATTTTTTTTTTAAATTCTTTTTTAATATTTATTTTATAGTTTAGATAAATTATAACCTACTGACATTGTGCATTTGCTTGGCAAATCATAAACAAAAAAGTTATGAATTATTGAAAAAATAAGTATTTTCCAAAATACCACCTACAGTTATCGAATATCTTTAAAATAGTGTTAATATTAAAACACATCCAATTTACAACAAAAAAGTTCATAATGCTTAAATTGCCCAAAGTTAATATTTTCAAGATACTCCTAGGTTAAAATTCACTTATCGCATATTTTAAGAAATTTTCACTCTTTTGAGATGTTATTGGTGAGTGTTTAATCTTGAAAGTATTTTTAACAAAAAGTCCAATTAATTTCCTTGAACTTTACTGTTCACAGTTTTTTAATCATACGCATGAGTTAAGAAGGCACAATAATTATCCGCAACTTATCTTCATCATACAAATCGTTCACGAGATATATATTTTTCTTTTGATGCGTATCATTTTTGCATAAGCCCTTTTCAAGTGTTAGTCGTGTGCAAAACTACACTCAAAATAATTGACACGTTATTGTTACGTGAAAAATCACGTGGAGTCTCACTTTTTCTTTTTTAGTCAATTTTACGTGGCGCAAGTAAAATCTACAAGATGTTACTTATACATCCATTCGCAACCACTGATATTATCAATGAAACTTACGTGAAATCCACATACACAGATTCTATGTTAGTTTCACGTAAACCTTAAGTGATTTTCACGTCTGAAAAAAACACTGAGTGGCCCACTCATTGTGGAACACAATATGGCGCCAGTTCAATTAGAATGTTTGCATTTCATCAAGAACGTCAAATAATTGTGATTCTATTCTATTGTTCGCATTTCAAATTGCAATCATAATTGGATTAAGATTTTAAATTTGAAATTATTTATCGTATATCGTTCATAATTTAGTTCAACTGTGGACGGCAGGGAGTACCATAGTATTGAGGAGGACTTATAACGCATTGTTCTATGCTGTATGAATACCATATTATATTGTCTCGTTGTTCGTGTTCCCGATTGAATTTTATTATAATATGTTTTTCAGATGTGACAAAATAAAATAAAAACGAATAAAATAGTGTTTGTTTTTGTAATTGTAGTGTTGAGCAAAAATATATTCTATTTGAAATGAATCGAAAACAAAAGCATTGGAAACCGACATAAATTTCATCCCAAGAATCACGTAACTTCTACTTGTTATTCCAGTGACGATGAAGCGTATTGAAATGAGTTCTTCCATGTGAAGATCACTTAGCTCTTACGTGAAAAGTGTGATGGAAAAAATCTACGTATGTTTTCACGTAGCATTGATGTGTCAATTATTTTGAGTGTAGGGAACCAAATATGTAAAATGGCATGTTGGACAATAACAAACAACTGTGCAAAGTGTCGCCTAAGGCTAAAAGTCTCGTTAATAAAGGAAAAAAAAAAAAAACTGTGC